ACCCCCCCCCCCCCCCCCAATAAAAAGCAACCGTTACCATTCCGCGTGCTATGTCCGTGGATATGCGCGTGTGTGCGACTGGTCAATAAAACAGAGCTCGCAGCCTTCCTTGGCCGCCCCGTCTCTCGACGGCGGAGGTGGCGGCGGCAACGCCCCCGGAAGCAGCGGTTCCATCGTGACTGCGATGGGCCCGCAGGCTGGTGGCGCTGTAGCGGCAGCTGCACCGGTTGGTGTCGGCGGCGGCGGTGGCGGCGGCGGCGGTGGTAGCTGGGCGCAGCCAGCGCCCCTGGCTTTCGACATCCGTGAGATCGAACGGTTCAGATACCGTGTGGAGGACACTCTCAAGAAGGTGTGATGAGCGGGGAAGGGCCAGACGTTTTACTTTTTTTTTCTCCGCTTCCGTGGTTGTACGTGCGCGGATCGAGCGTGGTACGTACACATATGGACACCGGATGGATTTAGATGGAAATCGGCGAAGTTGTGGACGACGGTCGTTGCGGCACTGTTGCGCCGCCCTATTCTTTCGCGAGATGTGACCTGGATGTCTCAGGCGGGCGGACCAATTATTGACATGTGTTTTTTTTTTTTCTCGTCTGTTCCGGAAATTTTCGTCTTGGTCTACACGGCAACCGGGAAAGCTTTCCTCTGATGTAGGGCTCGTCGGCCCGTGGGGTCACGCAGACAGGATTTACTCCCCTCCTTCCCCGACCCCTTGCGAACGCAAGGGTGATGACCAGCTTCTGGTTCATCCTTGTACCCTTGCGATGTCATAGACTGGGCCGGCGAAAACCGCTTCGTCCCGGCATTGTAGGGATGCGAGGTCAATGGTCAACACGACTACGGCATGCGTTTACACGAGTACACCCCCCCGATTGCGCCCAACTGCATGTATGTGGGTCGTGCCGGCCCGTGGGGTCACGCAGACATGGTTTCTTCCCCCCCCCCCCCACCCCCCGATTGCTTGAGTTCTTATGGCGTTGACCCCTGACTTTTATCTCGAAACCCTCCCCCTCCTTGGCAGGTGACCCGAGTAAGCGTGAGGGAAGCCAGGGCCGCCGAGCTGAAGGCGGAGATCGTCAACTCTCAGAAGCTGGCGGGGTACTTCAAGGAAAATGCGGGTACGTCCAAACTCACAAAAACAAAAAAGTCAACCACAGTAGCCCTCTTTATTTCTTATCGTTTCATGAGCAACGCAGATATCTGCTTGTCAATAAAAGTACCTTTGTGTATAGAGATGAAGACGTGTGGCCACGGTTTGATCAGCGCGGGCTATGGACATTTCTTGGGGGTATATATTAACCGATGTGTTTACATGAGAATTACATGAGAATTACAACCACCGGAAGAAGCCGTTGGCTCGGTATCTGCATCTTATCTTATTCGGCGACACTAGTGTTGGTGAGCGTGGTGCCGGCTCAACCGCATGCTGCACGAGGAAATCGCAACACCGGTCGGCGAGCTTTACAAATTTCCAAGCTCCACAGATTCACAGCAACAGAGAGGTGCGTGTAGTTTATTGTGAATTCCCCCGGCACACAGCAGTTTCAATCAACGTGGCGGTGTCAACATGACGGTGTCAAGATGGCGGTATATACCGTGAAAGACCCGCAATTTTTCCCGGCACACCTCTCACGTCCAATACATGTACATTTTCGTTTCGTACCCAGGCTGGTGCGTCAAACGTGATTCCAAAAGTCGTGGACTGGGGCCGTGAATAGATGGAAACAGAGCACAGTTTCAGCGGTCGGCCCAATGCAAGGCGGTATATTTCATGAAGCTTTGCCACCTTCACACTATCAGCAACGCATCGTTGACGATGATGATGATGATGATGATGATATTGATGATGATGGTCACCAATGCCGACAAGATAAACCAACGACAAGAAGCAAATCAATGCCGACAACAACAACCACGACGACAACACCAGCAACAGCAGTAACAACGGTACGAACAAGAACATTCACAACACTATCAACAGCAACAACAGCAACACCAATACCACCACCACCACCACCACCACCACCACCACCGACAACAACAACAACAACAACAACAACAATAACAACAACAACACCAATAACAACAGTAACACCAATAACACCACCACCACCACCGCCGACAACAACAACAACAACAACAACAACAACAACAACAACAACAACAACACAACAACATGTCAACGCCAACAGCGTACATTAACAACTGCCCCGCCGTCACCATCCGTCCTATCTGAAGGCGACCTGAAGGTGCTCCGGCACGACAAGTCGGTGCTGCACCCCCTCCGCAAGCTCGACCACCTCAAGCACATCCCGGACTACCTCATGCCACCCGGCCTCCAGACTGGCGAGGACCCCACGCAGGTGTGTTCTTTTTTTCTGAAACGAGTGCCGTAAGAATTGGCAAATGACGTCTTCTTGAGTGTCCTCGCGGGTGGTTCGTACGTACAAAGTCTTGGCCCGATGTCGCGTCCTTTGAATGTGCTACGCCGCCTCCGCCGCGAGCTGTCTTTCTGGGCTGATCCAGGATCGTGAAGTCGTGTATGTGTGTTTCGCCCACGTTGTTCTTGTGCTTGGGCCTGCGCCCCGCGCGCGGGAGAGAATTAGATCCAGAGCGAGAGAGGGGCATTGAAAGAGAGAGAGACAGAGAGAGAGAGAGAGAGAGAGACTCACGGGGTCCCAGTTAATGGCATTTAGAAATGTTTTGTGTTTTCAACCGCACTGAGACTGACTTCTTTTCATTGGTCAGCCGGTTAGCGCGGTCGATGCTAATAAACACAGACACACACACAAGAGATATTGAGGAAAAACTCCACACCCCACCGGTGTTGTAGCCGAGAAGAGGTTTCTCACATACAAAACCATAATATGGACACCTGAAAACTCGACCCTCTTCCCCCCATGAAAACCCAACCGACGCAATGGCAAGCACGTCCTTGCCCTCCCTCCCCTCAACATCTCTGGTCGGTATGCATACAATCCGGACGTGCGGCGCCCCTGTTCTAAGGGGTATACTACATGTACAAGGTCACTAGTACTCCCCCCGTATCCCCGCGCCCCCCCGCCGAAATCTAAACATCGCGCTCTTTTCCTCCCCCCGCCCCCGCAATTTATGGTCTACCGACTACGTCATGCGCTTACGCGAATACCCCCCACCCAATCTCTGCATTCTTTCGATGTTTTTTCAGAGACAAAGGAAGAGGATAAAGCGCGCGAGGGGCGGAGCGAAGCGTCGGCAGGGTCAGGGCCTGGACCAGGGCAGGCGAAAGGACAATGACCCTCTCCAGACCTTCGAGGCCTCCGAGCTAGGCGCGGACGGCAGCTACGGGGGCGAGGAGGAGGGCCGCAAGGAGGCGGCCAAGAGAATGAACGAGGAGAGGGAGTCGAGGGTCATGCAGGTAAAGGCCGGGGGGGGGGGAGGTATTCATGTAATCGCGCGCCGTTGTTGTTGGACGATGGACTTCGCATCCCAACAATGCCGGGACGGAGCGGTATGAGGGTTTTTCGCCGGCCCAGGCTAGCATATCATTCATTGCTTGCGTTGCGTTAAGGCACCTGCCCGTTGACCACGCGTTATCACTTTGCGAGAGAAGAGCGGGGGTAGTCGTTCCTCTCGATAAGGGGAATCATCAGCTCTGTACAGCAGTAGCGGTTGCGAGGTCTGCAACATCCTACACACCAACTTGTTGGATTAGGCCATCCCTATCCCGTTTGTGGCACTCTTTGGACCCCACTCTCGCCTTCCAGCATTCAAAAAAATCTTAAGTTTCGTTGATGGCTTCAACTTGTGCACTACACTCCACCGAAACTCAACTCTCGAAAGTCCGTCTCAAGAGCGCACCTGTTTCCTCCCTGTATCAGTCATGTCCCGGCGGTAAGGGAACGTGAGATTTTGGCGATACGAACATTTTTTGTTGTTTTTATGTTGGGCGCTCGTTCAAGGCAAACGAGACATGGACAAGTGATGATGGTCAACGTTTAACACTTACTAGTAGAGAGGTAGAGTACTGTAGATGGGTCAAAAGACAAAAAAGAAAGAAATAAAACGAGAGAAATATCAGAGGCGCCAACCTTTTTACCCATGGGCGTAAGGGGAGAAGGGAGAGAGAAAGAGGCAAAGTAACGAGAGGAAGGGGCGGAAAATCGGGCACTTGACCTTACGCGTTGGCTGGATTTTTTTAGAAGGTAAACATACCCTCACAGAAAGACTACCCGTTCCGAGATATAACATCAGTCGAAAGGGACGTGTCGTTTCAGTAAGCGGATTGAAACCGACTGGAAACTGGTCTTATTTAAAAATAGTGTAAGCCTATACGCTGGATTTTGTTGATAATCGGTTCAAATTAACCTTTATCGTCCATCAGAATTTATGTCTCACTTCCTTGGCTTTGTCTGTGCGTCCCTCTCTCGACGCGGGACGTTTCAGAGTTCTCCACTGTTTTAATTCTTTTGATTCCAATGGCGTGTTGCGTATTGCGACAGCTTTTCATTTGTTCTATCCCGCCGCCGCCGCTGTTGCTGCTGCTGCTGCTGCTGCTTCTGCTGTTTTTTTCCATATTCGTTTTGAGTTCCGACGGTGCCTTTCGTATTGAGACAGCTTTTTCACATCTTGTACCCTGCTGGTGCTGTTTTTTTTTTTTTTTCAGACCGGAGACTTTTCCGGCGAAAGCACGTCCGGCCGAAGGCGCTGGCAGCAGCGGAGAGGGAAAGGGAAACATGGCGGTGGCGGGAACAAAGGCCGCAGTAAGAAGACTGCCAACCGGTTCGACATGCCCGTCTGAGAGCACCTGCCGGGGGTCTGCGATTTTTTTTACGCTAGTGAAGCTGCGAAATTTCCTATCTGTGCTGTTCCATGTTGCCACGTGTTTTTTTTGTTTTATTCTCCAAGCGTAGACGCACACGCGCGCACGCCTACCAACGTAGATGCATAGGCCAACAGTGTTTGACTAGTTTAAGGCCCACTTCTCGACGGGTCCATCTGGCGTGTTTATCTCTGCAAGCGAGGAGGGTTCGGAGTTCGGATTTTGGCGTTTTAGGACCGATTCCAGCGACATCTTCTCTGGGTGTAGAAGAAATAGATGGTGATGTCGTCGAGAATATTGGGGGCACGTTCTGCACAGACAGGTGCGCGGGGGGGGGGGGGTAGGGGTATCCCGTCCGGTGCGGCCGATGCCGCTTGTGCTGGAAGAACAGACTGCGCTGTATGACTACGAATCGGCAACGCATCTATTGATGGAGAGTAGGTTTCCTCTCTGTGATGTGTGCAGACCGTCCCGTTCCTAGTGGTGCGTCGATCGGTGTAGGGTGTGTGGTGTGTGGCAGGCGGTGGGCCTTTGGTGGGGGGGTTGGGGGGCGAGGGAGAGATCGGATCCAACTGGTGGATTATTTCGATCGAACTCTGCTCTAGTGGCCGATCGCAGCTGGCGGCAAGAAACAACAAATGATTTCGTTTTGGTGGAGTTGCATTATTTGCCGAAAGAGCTGATAGAAGAGCTTCGAAGGGATGCACCCGTCCAACGTGTGTTCGTTTTTGATATCGGGCGCATGCTGCACTTCGTCAGAGTGTCCACTGAGTTCTGCGAGGTTCGCTTGTGGAACGTGGCGCACGTGGCAGTTGCGGTGAAGAGTGAAACAGTTGCGAGAAATGCGGCGTTATTGCCTTATTCTGCGCCTTATCGTGTTCGATTGCTCCACAAGGAAGAGGCTGCCGATGCTTGAAAACGGTGGAGTCGAACACATCTCCTCGGAGTTGTCCTTTGAAAACGGTGGTTTCGGAAACATCTGATCGAGAGCTCTCCTCTGGCGTATCGGTCATCTTTCGCAGATTGCAGTCATTATGAGAGGAGCAATCCGAGCTGTGTACGACAGTCGGTCAAAGGGGGCCTGCGATCATTCCCCGGTTTTACGGTTTTTTCATAAAAGCTTCGTTGTGCACGAGCGTTGACACGCGTCCCCTATTTCGATCTATCTGCAGGACCAATCAATCGGGCACAGCGTCATCGAAGGCGGTGCGACCTGCCCTTCGTTGTAGTTGGTTCCGGTTGGCACAAACATACCAAAATGTGCGTAAATAACCTTCACCCTACAAAACGTTTCACCTTCCTTCCTTGCGATCGCACCGTCCGGTCGTCATCCTCTATGCGTGTATGTATGTACGCGAGCGACTACAAAGAGGGGTGTGAGGAAGTTTTCTTGCGAAGCAAGGTAGGGGGCCTCAGGGAGAGGAACCCTTCTGTGTGACCACGGGTTGGAGTAAACGGCACAAGTACTGCTGTGCAGACTATATCTCGAACGGGTAAATAGTCTTTCTATGAGCGCTGATTTGAAGTGACGACAAAAAAAATTACAACAAGAGGATCCGTCGGTCACGAAAGTTAGTTGTTGATCCTTACATCTGAGCGGAGACCGGAACGGTTTTTGATGTGAAGACAACAACGACAACATCATCAGCCTTGCCCAGCCCCTTCTCTCTTCACCCTTTAATTTTTCTTGAAGCAAGCGTGTCAGGCTCAGACTTTACCATGAGTCTGCTACTGTAGTACAGTGCACAGCAGTATGCAAACCCAAAATAGGTCGATTTCCAATCAATGCCGATCGGGGAAACTAACGGCGGAAGCATCAGGATGTGACAGACCATCATTTTTATGCCACCAGCGCGATGCCTGCCTTTGCACCTCTTGCAAGAACACCGATGGGTGTGGAAGTTATGTTCACGAAAAGAAGACAACCCGAGAGAACAAAAAGAAAGGAAATACTTTTACGCATATTTACTTTTTGAACGAAAATCAAGCCGGTTCCAGTGGAAAAAAGAAGCGCTGAACCAGATTTGAACTGGTGACCTATTGAGCTGCAATCAATTGCTCTACCCCTGAGCTATCAGCGCTGCTTATTGGAAGGGCCAATTTGTAAAATTATAAACTGTACCTTTCGTGGAGACCACGGCAGCTTCCTTTCCTTTCATGGACAATCTTTGGTCTTTCGTGATGTACGCGAGATGAAGCACAACCCCACTCCACTACGGGCGTCGGGCCTTGATCGGTAGGGAATCTCTGTCTCCGCTCCTCCCCTCAAGTCGTGTGCGGCTTCAACAACGAACACCGACACGAGCCCCCCCACCCCTCCCGCGCAAAATACCAGCCGCGGCACCCCCACCTGCGTTATCGGGGTATGTACGAGAGGCGGCGTTATCGTGCGCCCACGTGTGTTGTCCACTGCCAGCTTTGCTTTGGTTGGAATTGACGAGCTGACGCTATCACGCGCTGACGGACATCAAACATGGGCGTCCTCGAGTTTATCGTGAGTGTGAAACTTTGCCTGTCAATCTGGTGCATCGCTGCGCTTGTGAACGACGACTTTGATGGTCATGTATATCACATCGCCGACTGCGGTGTGTCCGGGGTAGGCACCGCGGTATGCCACCCCTCTTCTATTGGCCTGGCTGTAAGCAGGAGTCACCCCGTGCATGCATGAGACATCTATCTCACTATCCGGTGGTTTCAACGGTAGAGAATCTAGGTTGAGAGCAGACTAACGCCCGACGACAGTAAGGAAACGATAAATTGAGGCAACAAACCATCGCGTCTCCACGTCTGACCGACTGAAGATAGGTATGTGTACAAGTCTTCAGCAGGAGCAGGAGAGCTAAGAAGCTAAGAGACAATGAACATGTGTAGCTTTCGGGAGGTCGGTTAGATGCACTCCCGGGGGTGACTCAAGTTGAACAACAGTAGCAGAGACTGAAAAGTTGAGATAAAATGATGGAAGAGAGGGGTGTACCGAAGGGTGTAGTGGAAAGACAGACAACCCGTTCGAGATGTAACTACTAGCTGTACAGATTGTTCATCTACAATAGAAGTATGATGTGCACATCACGGGCATTTTGAAAGAACAGCGGGAGGGGTATGGCTGACCGTGATATCTATAGAATGTGTGCAGCGGGAGGGGTAGGCTGACCGTGATATTTAGGTGACGCGAAATTCCATCCCGCTGCAAATGGCTCGTTACAGCTGTAGTCAATTCGATGTTTGAAGGTGTGACATGAACTGAAGCTAAAGATCGACACTGGAATAAAGTAGTAGGAGCGGCTCGTGTTTATCCCTTCTGGAAAGTAGATACGTACATATATGGGGGATGGATATCTGGTCAAATAACATGGTGGAGGTCAGGCGTGTTGCGGATTCGTCGCGAAACACAGCGCAATAAGCACGCACCATCACCAATCTCGGTTAAAATGGACCTCTGACCCGGGTTGGAGTTATCATTAGAGCCCTTGTCATGGTCGTTTTCTGAAGGTTCGTCATGTGGGTCATCGTCAATTTTGTTGTCGATCGACTCAATTCGATTCGTAATTTTTTTCGATGTCTTGTGTTTTCCCAGTACCCCGAAAACAACGTCCTAAAGACTATAGCTGTAAGTTGAAGGTGGGTGGACGTTGTCCTGTGACAACGATGACGAAGTCGGAGTACACTACAATAATGCAGTGTGGAATGTTGTCCGGGCACAGACCGTCTCGTGAAGGCTTGTCTCGAAATTTCCTTCCTGCTGTGTTTTCTTGCCCATGAAAAGCATCATGGTTATGTTGTGTTTTTGGATGCTTACGAATCATGCTCTGCTGTTGCGAACACTCATATTGGTATTCATTCGACAGCAAACGCAACACACGTGAAATCATCCCACAAAAAAAAAAAAAAAACGGAACGTAAAGTGCCAGAAATGGGACAGTTTTGTTCGGGTTCGGACCGTCCCGAGAGGGGTGACCTCGAGAGTCGTCGGTGGTGTGTGTTCTTGCTCGTGATAGGTATTAAGGAATAATAAATACACACACAGTATCATATATTGTAGAGATGTCGTGTTTTGGATGTTAACGTGATGTTAATGTGATGATAATGCCCTGCTGTCTCGCTAAATACTGTGCCCATTGTTGGTACCATAGTGGACAGCAAACGCAGCGCATCTGGTCGTTACATTGTTCGACGAAAACGGTGACGTAGACTGCTACACCACATATTTGAATTTTTCAATTTTTGGGAATTGACCGCTGCCAGAGTTGTGCGAGAGGACTTCTGTGTCGCGTGGCCAAGAGCCTTGTCCCTTCTGCAGCCATGAAAATCGCTGTTTGCATGTGTGGTTGACAAGTACGGTGTTTGTGGCACACGAGAGACTTCACATCCATGAAAACTGTGCTGTTGTCGGCTATTGAAGAAATGCAAACACTACCCTGCCACCAAAGCTTATCGCTACGGATGCCAAGGCTGTTAATGTTCGTGGGGGATCTGTTCTTGTTGATCGTTGAAATGTACCCTGTGTGGTGAGCTCTAGCGCCATGCTGATCTTTCCATATCGTGTGTGTACTCAATAGACGAAACGCGCAACCATCATGATGACGAAAACACTCTCTGCTCCACCCAGAAACATCCCGCTCCTGGTGGAAAAGACACGCTCAACCAAGAAACAGACCGCCAAAGAGGAAAGCACCCCACTAGTGTTCCTGTTCAGTTTTCATGTATACCTGAAGGATTTTTTGTTCGGATTCGCAGCCCCTGAAATAGAGCCAGTCCCAGCGACTTTTCAGCGGCCATCACGCACCACCAATGGTGTCTCGCGAGCCCCACACGTAACGGGTAATTGTACCGACGGGTCCTCCGAGTGTCATGCAGAAGAAAGTGTGAGAAGAAACGCACCTGTCCCACCAGAGAAAAAATAACAAAATCAACCACATGTGCATACAAAGCAGTTCCAAGAGGAGGCTCGGGTGGTGGTTTGTGCGTCCGTGATGCCGTGGTATGATCTGCGTGTTTTAGAGTTCTTGCTTTCGGAGACGTATGGCGCATTGTAGCATACACGGCTTGCGAGAGCGCACAGGGGGTTCCGCCTGCGAAAGCACAAGCACATGGAATCTAGATGTTGGTGTAGACATTGTACTACGTGTATGCAGGCTGGTCCCACGCACAAGTAGCCGCCTAGCGTTGCTTAGGATGTGATCACCCATCCCCGACAGCGAATCCTGGACATGATCGGGATCACCACTAGCCAATTTGGAAACTCTTCGTGATGCTAGCGCAGATACAAATGGCCACCTACAGATGTACCAATCTCCTCTTCGTGTGGGTTGCGTGGCTCCCCCTTCCGCCGTGCTTTCGTCTATTTTTCTTTTTTCCAGCATGTACAAAGATGCCTACTCTCTTGGTATACCATGCAGTAGCCTGTGGCTATACTGCCGTCCGTGTTGGCTGGACCAGTTACGGGTGTTTGATGTATCGTCGATACCAATGGTTTTAGGTTTGCTTGCAGATTTCTTGAAATCGATTTTTGTCCACCTTTTCTCGTTTTGTGTCTGTCTAATTTTTCTGTCTGTCTGTCTGTCTGTCTGTCTGTCTGTCTGTCTGTGTCTGTCCACCCTCTCTCTTGGTCGCTTTGCCTTTCGTTTGATGCAGCAAGACCCACAGGTGACACTGGCCCTCGTGTCAGTGGCCGTTACCTTCCTGGTCATCATCGTCAGCTCCGCCAAGCAGAAGAAGGTACAGCAGTTAACAAATTTTCCATATAAAAATGATTTGAAAAAGACTTGGGTAGCCGGGCTTACAACTTAGCGCGTTCGTCCTGATGAGTCCTGTGGTGTTCTTGGCCCTCTCGCCCGCCCCGGTGACAGGCGTCTTGAACCGCTTCATGCGTCTTGAAGCCTTTCGTGCGTCTTGTATCACTTCGTGCATCTTGAAGCACTTCTTGCATCGCTTTGTGCATCTTGTAGCACTTGGTGCGTCTTTAAGCGCTCCGTCACCGTCTCGTCGTCCTGGAGCGAGCTTCAGATATCACATGTGTGTCCCAAGGAATTGCTTCATCGTTTTTCCGCGTGCTGGAACGAGCGGAATACCAAATCACGCGTGTCTTGGAGCGGTACCTCGTTGCAAGGTGTCACACCGTGTCGCGTGCATCTTGGAGCAGTTAGTTGCTTCACTCTATCAACTTGCTGGAGCGAGCTTGCTCAATCGCTTAATCAAAGTAAGCTTTTTTTTTCACTCACTAACCCCTGCTTCATACTCGTGAAATGTATGCAGCCTGGGCCGGCGAAAACCCGGCATATCGCTCCGCCCCGGCATTGTGGGGATGCGAGATCATGGTGTAACGACTGCGACCTGCGTATGCATGAGTACACCACCCTTCGCTCGAGGACGCGTGGTCCATGGTCTAACAGCAAAGGCATGCAAATCATAAGAGTACGTCTCCCTTCCACCACACTTGACAGATTGCTCTGCAGCCGGAGGTGTATGCTCCTTTCCGGCTGCAGGAGAAGGTGGAGCTCTCGCACGACACCAGGATGTTCCGGTTCGCGCTGCAGAGCCCGAAGCACGTGCTTGGGCTCCCCATCGGGCAGCACGTGTCGATGAAGTTCGTCGACGCTGATGGAAAGATTGTCACCAGGTCGTACACGCCGACAAGCTCCGACATCAACGTGGGTGTTGTTGTTGTTGTTGTTGTTGTTGTTGTTGTTGTTTGTGGGTTTGGAACACGTGGGATAACGAGTGGTTTTGCGGATGCATGCCGGCGGAGAGTTGTGATATTTCGCTTTTGATGCAGCATGTAATGCAGATGTGCGAAAAACGCAAGTTGTCGTGGGGGGCTTCGCCATGGACGGGGCGGGGCGGAACAGACAGCGCGTCCTTGACCTCGATACCCATTAAAACCAGTTGTAGGGCTGACCAGCATCTCGACCCTCTCCCCCCCCCACCTCCCCCTGCCTGTGCTGCTTGCATGCCCTGTTCGCTCGTGCGCTGGATCATTTGTGCCCATTTGATCCCTTTCCATGGCGGTTTTGCTTTTCACCGCATCTCGCGGCGGCGGCGGCGGGCTATTTTTTGCCGTTCCGGCAAACGATGGCGATGACGCAACAAATAATAATCCATCCCCAAACAATGCGCCTTCCTGGTTTTTCGCCGGCGGTGGCTGGCCGGTGCTGGGTATTGGCTTGGTTTCGTCTGGTGGGGAACGCGGGTTTTCGGGGATTTTTGGTCCTGCGGTGCGCGGAAAACGACGACGACTACAATGGGAACAACAAAAATCCCGACAACGACAACGCGACGACAACAACAAAATAACAACTGCGACGACAACAACATCAACCACAACCTTGCTTGCACGATTTAGCTTGGCCACGTAGACTTTGTGATCAAGGTGTACCGGCCGAATGAGCACCCCAAGTTCCCGGACGGGGGAAAAATGTCGATGCACTTGGAAAGGCTCAAGGTGAGGGGGGTGTTGAAGGAGCTCGGAGGCTTCGGTTGCAGAACGTGTTGTTTGATAAGGACGCTTTTGTCTTCAGTGAGGATACTTTTTTCTTAGTTTCATGTCTGATGGAAAGACGAGGAACCCGGGGCAAGGAGATTTTAGGCTCAACACCCTCCACCGGTGGATGCTGTTTGAGAGAGATGGAGAGACAGAAATAGCGGGAGAAATCAGGAGAGGCAGAGACACAGAGAGACGGACATGAACGCGGACGCAGAGATAGACAGACTGACAGACAGAGACACGGAGAGGCCGAGATGGAGACTACGTGGGACCAATCACTCTCAAAGTATGGACGTCGGTTTACAGATTGTTCTCACCTCGATCTTACGCCCGTCTGCTGCTGCGTGCCACACCGTCGTGCTTTCGGTGGGGTCTATCTAGATCGGGGACACTGTGGACATGCGAGGACCGAAGGGAAACCTGACATATTTGGGGACCGGAAACTTCAGCATAAGGCGCCGGGACGACCGCCAGGTGAAACACTTGCTGTTTATGTATTATTTAGTTTGTGGCGGGGGATGTACTGTAGTGAATGGCGACAGTAGTAGCTGTTGTCGGGTTTGGTGTCGTCGTTGTTGTTGTTGTTGTTGTTGCTGCTGGTGTTGTTGTTGTTGCTGGTGTTGCTGCTGGTGTTGCTGGTGTTGTTGCTGTTGTTGTTTTCTTGTTCGTTTGTGTTCGTGGTGGGTAGTGTTGTTGTGGACGGTGTGTATTTGTTTTTTTGAGAAAGAGAACGCGGTTGTGTCTGGGTGCTGAGAGGGGAATGAAGAAGTGTCGCCATTCTTTTGAGGGGACCGGTGGTACCCTCCCTTCACAGCGGGTGTGTTGTGTTGCATGCAAGCACAGTGCGGGGTGGCTGCCTATCCAGGAACAACAGCCGACTTCATTGTCCACAAGGGAGAGATTCCATGATAGCTAACCCCCCCCTTTCGCCAAACGTAACATGAACAGAGAGATTGCACCACGTGGGGATGACCAAGTCCGGGTCGTCGGTAGTTTCTCCCTAGCTCGCAGGCAACAACATGGTGTATGTGTATGCCGTGATTGACGTCCACAGAAGGAACGGTTCTGAAGTACAGTAGAGGCCCCTCAATAGTCCCGGTTGAATAAAGCCATTGCCCGATAAAATGCCGGTGAAATGGCGCGACACGGCTGGAATAGCCAAGTTGTCTTATTCTCTAAATAGCGCCGGGTGCCCGGTTTTGTGCCGGTAAACCTGACGGGCATGTCCCGGCGTTATTGAGGGACCGCTGCTGTGGTAGGTAACAGGGTAACGCCTTGTAACCTTATTCCCTCTTGTGTTTTTTTTTGGGTCCCCGGCGTTTTTGATGGTGTCGACGATAACGCGACGAAAATCCGAAGGTACGGAAGCTCGGCATGATGGCCGGGGGCACGGGCATCACCCCGATGCTGCAAGTCATCTCTGCGATCATGAGGGAAGGCAGCACCGGCTTGGTGGAGATGAGCCTTATTTTCGCCAACAAGTCGGAGGACGACATCTTGCTGCGGGACATGATCGAGAAGCTGGTGAGAGATGGGAGGGTGTGTGAGAGGGGTGGGGGGTCGGGGGAGAATCACATAGACATTCAGACAGAATGCAAGGCACGGGCAGAGAAGAGGGAAAGCGAACGGTAATGAAGAAGGGTTGTGAGGACCAGGAGGAAGAAACCAATGGAGGTATTCATTGGAGAGAAATGAGGAACAACAGACGTGATGGAGGTACGCAGTTGAGAGGAGGTGCCCTGTTCTGGACCATCATTCTTGCTCGGGCCGGGCATGTGTCCTGGTTCGCAACAGAGTGTAGGGCCCGCTGTTTCAGCCTTGTTTCTCGCTGGGGTGTATGCCAGACGTTGTCAAGTGTATGTGAGTATTTTGTGCGTTACGCTAGCGAGAAGGAACAAGGGTTGTATGCGATTACCGGTCCACACGGACGGGGTCTGGCAGGGGTGGACTGTGCAGACACCACATGTGCCCCCCCAGGCACAGACGCAATGAAGATTATGGAAGTCAGTCCAGATAACACGGTTGATTTTGGTCGCGAGTGTGCATGGAGAGCATTCTGGTGATGATGGGCAGGTATGCGCAACGTGCTTGTGTTCGCTAGCCGGAGTGCTCACGTTCTCGCCGGGAGTTTTCCATGGGTATTTGCGTGTGTTTCAATTTCTTTCTGGAATAGTTTTTTTTTTTTTTTTACGTGTTGACTACGGTATAGGCAGTTTTTTCTTCGCTGAACTGCAAGCGTATGCATCATTGCCGGTCAGATGTTTCGCACACTATGCTGCTCTGCGGTCAATGCTTTTCGTGAGAACCCCTTGGCCTTGTTGCTCGTTCTTCTCGCGCGAGAGACTTACTAAATATGCCCCCTTATTGTTTTTCTTCTCTCTCCCTGTTCTCAGGCGGCTAGTAACCCCAACTTCAAGTTCCACTACACGCTCGACACCGTTCCGGAGGGGTGGGCGCACAGCCAGGGTTTCATTAGCAAGGAGGTATGTTCTTGAACAGGTTTTCCGTGTCATGTTGAGTGGACGACTGAAAAGTAACTAAACTACTTCTATTATACGCTATGCCACAAATCGGGAGACCAGCTACCCCCCCG